ACACACAGACACACACCAGGGCCAGTCCATCACACGACACACACACACACACTCACACACACACACCCACACCAGGGCCAGTCCATCACAGGACACACAGACACACACCAGGGCCAGTCCATCACAGGACACACACACACACACCAGGGCCAGTCCATCACAGGACACACACAGACACACACACTCACACCAGGGTCAGGTGTCCCAGAGCCAGTGAACCCCTCAGCACGTCTCTGGACAGTTGGAGGAAACTGGAGCGCCTGGAGGAGACCCACATCAATATGTGGAGAACATACAGACTCCACACAGACAGCACTCCAGGAACTCAATCCAGAAACCCAGCTTTGCGATGCAGCAGTGCTGACCACAGGGCCACCATGCCACCCTTGTACTGACTAACAGATGGCACACAGCCAATCCGGGCTGTATTTTAGCTCAAACTTGACAGGAGCATCTTAATGTACAGCAGTTCGCGGCGAACGCACCACCGCGCATGCTCTGCTCCGTCAGCGATGGCGCCAGGCGATGGCCCGGCGACGATTTTAAAAGCAGCTCGTGGATCGCCGTCCCGTAGAAACCTGCCCATTCGACCCCTTGTGAACTCAAAATAAAATCTATTGTGAGTTCTGTGTTAACTGCGGCGCATATGACAACGCAGTGCAGTTTTGCCAGTAATGGCTGCCTCCTCTTAGCCTTCATCCTGGATCCCTCCGATTGTATCCTCCGCCGGCTTCCGTTGCCCTCGCTCTGACGTCACGTCCGGCCCGGGCGGATTTGGGCCCCGCGCGGCGGAAGGAGGCCCTCTTTTACCACTCGACGGTCCAAGATGGCGGACGCACAGGTAGGAGAGACGGAGCGGCGTGGAGGGATTAAAACTGGCCGAAAGCGCACATTTAACCACTGGAATCGCCCGGTTAGGCTGGATTAGTGCAGGGGAAGTTCTGCCGGAGAGCACCAGGGTCCTCGGAGCTCCACAGAGCCTCAGGGTTTTCCGCTTTCCGCCGTCTCGTACATCTGCCTCTCCAGCAATGTGTGCGGGGCGGCTGGCCGAGACGGGGTAGGCCGGGCCCGTTCGGGATGCGCGGCCTCACAAGCGTCGCGTTTGACCGAGCCCGCAGGATGCGAGGGGGGGGCAGTCCGGGCTGTGTCTGCGCCGGACCGGGCTTGTGGGTTTGGACTCTGCCGTGTGACGGTCCCGGTCGCCTCCCGGAGCCGATGTGGGTTATTCCCAGTAACCGTGCGGGTTCTCCTGGCTGGGTTTCCTGGAGACGTGCCGGCTCGGGCGAGGGGCGAGGGCCGCCGGCCTGTCCGGACCCTGCGTGCCCTGCCCGGTGCTGGCTCGGACGGGTATCTCGTCCTGCTCGGCTCGGGGGTGTCCCGTCCAGCGCACATGGGCTCGGTCGCTCTGTTTTCCAGAGCTCAGAATCGCCTTTTTGCATGGGTGCCGTCTAAGAGACGCCTCCTAAAATAGAGGGCTGTTTCTTTTCACCCTGATATCGCTAGAAATTTACAGCGTTTTTACCCTGAACGCTGTACTGAGCTTTTACC